AATAATTAAATATGACCTTATTGCTGGCCAGGGAAGCGAATGGAGACAGGAGGGAAGAATACAAGAAAATAAGAATGCTACATCTCCTGAAAAAGGGAATTCTATGTACTGGTGATTTTCTGAACTCACTTTCTCTCAGTGCTCACCGTCGTTAAAATGTCTAAAAATGAGTATTTTTTGAAGCAGCAACCCTAAGAATTATCATTGTTGCAGTTGCCTGGCAACCTGAGACTTTGGTTATTTTATTTTTAAACAGGGAATGCTATAAACTGGTATCTGGAGTTTGTGCAAATAGTTCTAAATTGATGTTCTTCCAGTAAATCAGGGGGAGATAATACAGCATTAATGTACACTTCAAGGGTGCTAAATATGCATATGTGTGTGCATCTCTCACACACACACACACACACACACACACACACACACACACACGGGAATTCTTACCCAGAGCACTCTTACATGCTATCATGAGCAAACCTGGAGAATTAATATTCTTCTGCATTTTCCCTGGAAAAGACTTAATTTCATATTAACAGTAAATAAGGACATTCCAATCCAGAGAAACAAGGCTTCCCTTCAACTAGGAGGACTGGATATTGTTGCTAGTCTCAATCATTATCGCCAGCTTCCCAGACGAAGAGGGTTCCAAGTTCTGAGAACACAGACACTAACCTCATCGCCAAACAGCCACCAGGAGAAGGTGTTTCTCGAAGCAAGGGCGAGGACTAGCTGTGTCCTTCAGGTTTGCCAGTCCTGGAAAGGCCTTGTGAATTTTAGGGAGGGTGTACAGGTACACCCACTCAGCACTACACCCCTGCAGGAGAAGCGCTGTTAACTACTTTTCAAATGTCATTCCTCCACAAGTCACACTAACTTTGCTATTCTGATGCTGTTATCTTCTTAAGAAACCACCTTGGGGCCCTCCCTGGGGGCGCAGCTAGTTAAAGCACTGCACTGAGGAGCTAAAGCCACTTCCGAATGAGTTCGATCTCCGCCCCGAGTGACCACAGGGCACAGCAGACCTCTCCTGACCGCCGGCTGCTCCCCTCAGCAGTGCACTTCATCAGTCGGCCTGTCCTGCTCCCCACTCTGTCTCTGGTGAATCCTCTCACTGCCCCTACACCTCTGGCCTGTACCCCAGTTCTGTATGCATAAATAAATAAAAATCTTCAAAAAAAACCACCTTGGTTTCTGGCTCCTGCCAAAGGCTTTAGGGCTTCCTGCCCCTGGTGAGGGGCATCTGATCACTCTGGAGGGCAAGAGGCTCCTCCAGGCGGACACTGCCGCTGTTTTCACTTGCAAGCTGAAGCCTCAGGCTCAGGAGCTCCTGCTGGCGTGTGGACCGCAGAGAGAGAGAGGGTAAGAGAAGCCCAAAGCACATCACTGGCTGCTGGAGCAAATGCAGGATTAGGACTGACTCTGAACCACAGCCCAAATCCATTAAAAAGGCCTCCAGTCTCACTTCGTTCATGAGATTGTTATGCAAGTGCACATTTCAAGTGGACTTGCGAAGGGCTCTCAGACAGATACAACACATCAGGGTCACAGAGTGATTTTCCATAACCCCCTGCTAAGTGGAAGCGAGACATAAAATAGCCGTGGTTTAGAACCACAGCACAAGCAGCATTTTGTTGGGAAATAAGTAAATAGATCACTTGAGCACTTCAAGTAATTATTTCTCCCAGGGGAGTAACATGTACAAATGAAGATAAATGCTCAGGACCTGAAGGATCACTGTGTGAAACACAGCACCCCGAGGCTCTAGGGACCCTTGCAAGAAAACACCTACGAGGGACCAAAAATCCTCTTTTGGCATAAGTGGGTCGTGGTAAGAATTGCCAAGTTTGGAAATTGACCTACTGGGATGGCATCACCTGTCCGGAAGCCAAGCTCACAAGGATCCCTGCGGAAGCCCTCTCGGGCCACGCCAGTGACGGGTGCTTGGAACGTAACAGGTACAGGTGTCACGGACTCCGCCCCCACTTGATGCTGGAGCTCCACACCCCATCAGTACCAAGGAGAAGCACGCAGGGACGTGAGGGCGGAGCTGAGCAGCCAGGTTGGGATAAAACTGGACATGTGGGCTCTGGGGTTCGTAGCTGACCGTTTTGGTGCTCCATCGGTTTTCAGCGGCCGGTGAAGTCCAGGTCGGCAGAACCGGTAGGAAATTCTAGTTAACCTGTGTTTCTCTCCCTCTCTCCCTGGGTTATTCCTTTACCTTTCTCCTTATAAATAAATCCATTATTTAACCTTTTGAGTGTGTCCATAATACGACTGAATTGTAAGCGCACGGGTGAAGACCCACAGACAGGCAACCCAATTCACATTGGGGTGCCCTGGAACAGGAACACCGGGTTGGGACATGGCATCCTCTTCGGCGCCCTCATTTCTTTATCCCCTCCATGCAGTGGGAGATTCCTATGACCCTGGTGCCCAAGAAGCAGTGAGACACAGCAAGCGAGCCGTGGACGGGAATTTACGTGCGCACTGTGAAAATGCTCACGACTAGACAGATCACCCTAGCCAAGAGATTCTCCAAAGTTGGGGAGTCGTTTGTACAGCCTGTCCCCCATCCCTGCAGCTGCCATCTATTAAGGCAATTATTTGCAAAGTCAAAGCCCTTCAGGGCACACCAACAGTGCTGGGGGTGCCTGGGACAGGCAATGAATCCGAACCCACTTTCTGGTTTGCTCACATGACAAATAGTCTGGTAGAACCAAGAAGAGAAATGAGGTCACGCTATGTTCTCGCTGCACGTTCCCGTTAATTGCCCAGAGCAAGCACCGGTCACGCCGGCTCCCAGCACAGTTGGCTCGGTGACAATGAAGAGGCAGAAGTCATTTTTGGTGTGTTTGGAAGGTGGGGTTTGGTCTTCTGGTTTCTCCTCAGTGAGCGGGAGTCAGAGGAAAGGGCAAGGGCAGGAAACGGCCCCTCTTTCAAGGAACTTGCCTCAAGTTCCTGGAAGACACAGGGAGGCGCTTAGTATGCTAACAAAATGCCGCCTAATGTGCCTTTAGACGCTGAGTGAATTGATAAAGGAAATCTGGGCCATCCTGCTGAGCTGAAGGCGCCGTGCTGCGCAGAGCAAAGGCGGCTAATATATTACAGAGCTTGATGAGGCTGGGGGAGAGGGCTGGCAGTGTGGCTGGGGCTGCCAGGGTCTCCGGAAAGTGACGCCCTCTGATCCTGCCACCAGCTGGCTGGGGACTTGAGTAAAACTTTGTCTTATCCTGTACCTCGAAAGAGGAGATTTTCGAGTTGATTAATCACTTGGTCAATGTGATTTGCAGATTCCAAATATTAAATATATATCATGGCGATGAATCTGAGACAATAGTCCAGCAAGGGTCTTTTAAAGCTCAGACGCAAAAATGGGTGTTAAATACGGAGGGATAAAACTGGGGTGTATGTGGCCATGGTGCCTGGGTGAATTGGTGGTGGGGATTTGACTAGAACTGAGAGAAAAAAGAAACATGGTACAAAAATGAACAATGATGTAAAACATAACTAAATAAGTAAATGATAGTGTGTGTGTGTGTGTGTGTGTGTGTGAACTGGATTATACAAATGAATTGGCAAAAGAATGTTCTGGGGAGGATGAACTCGCCAGCTGGATGCAGGGTGCACAGGTTCCTGGCACTCAGTGGCAAAGAGCCTTGCAATATCTCCAGAAGGAACCGGATGTCAGGAGACAACTCTCCAACTGTCTTTCGAAGACACAATTTCTGGGTTTATCTAACTAAGATTCTAATTAGCAATAACAGAGAGACACAAAGAATTATAATCACTACTTAGTCACAAAGTCCCTCTAGTGATGGGACTCTTGGTGGAGAATAAAATGATAGTGTTGGCATCAACTTAGAACAGACAGGAAGAACTCTTGGACTCATCCTGAATTTCTGCTATTTCCTAACTTACTTTTTTCCTTCCATTCAAGAGCAGCTTATATTTTATAAGAATTTACATAGTAAAGAATGTTATATAGATTTGCTTAATCCTTATGACATCTCTATGGGATAGATCTCACTTGTTGAGATAAAAATAGTCTACACTAGATTATCATTAATGGTTACTTGCTTCTAGTGTTCCAAATTTTGTCAAAAAAATTCACATCCTTTACATCATTCTCAATCTTAAAGCCCTGTGATGTGCACACAAGTGTGTGTGTTTGTGTGTGTGTGTGTAGCTGTAACTCACAGTTCATGATGAAGGCTCAGCTAGCAAATGAGAGGCACATTGCAACTTTGGCAAGCGCCTCCAGAACCATGGGACTACTCATTGCTCCCCACCAAATCCTCCATTGGTAAAATCGAGTGGGGGTGATGGTGGGGGTGGCTCAGGGCTGGGTCATTTGTGGACACAGGTGACAGGGCAAGTCTTTGGTCTGCCGGGGTAGGGGTAGCTCTACTTTCATCTTCTTGGTGAACTAACAGAACAGGGAAAGGATGTAGCAGGAGAACAGGATGAAGAGTTGAGTGGGCTGTTGAGTGATCGTCCCCAAGCTTTATAAGCTCTACTATGTAGGGCTGCCAGGGGAAATATAGGGTTCACATATGTCTCACAGGATTGGGGGGCATACTTACACTAAAACATTACTTAATGTTTACCTGAAATTCAAATTTAACTGAATTTTTCAAGTATTCTGAATTTTTCTTGGTCAAGTTTGGCAGACTTTCTCCTAAGGGAAGGGTAATTCGAGCTGACTCTCGTGGATCTCTATGAAACAGATAAACCTGCTCAATGACGGCGTAGTCCAGCAATAGTCCAGGTTGTTTCATGCAACCTGATGTTAGGACCAGAATAGATTTAGGTATTTACATAGCCTTTGAATGCGGAAGATCACCTTTTACACAATTGTTAGCAAAGGCTGATGATGGCATTGTCTAAGCCAGGTGCATGTCCCTCTGTGCCACCCCCTCATCTCAATGGGTGGAGAGTTCCAGACCAGCCTGCACACCATGCCTGTCGCATCTCATGCTTTGCGTGGAATCGTCACTTACTTGTACGGGATGTGTTTGCTGCCGTTGACGAGAGCCAGGATGACATTCCCCAGAGCGGAGAGTGAGAGGCATAGACCCGAGCCACCTTCCCGGTTTTTGCTAAGAGCTTTCACACAGCTGCCAAGATCAATGAGGTGCAGGCGGCTGCGGCCTCCAGACACTATCATGGGAGAGAAAAGGGACAAGAGAAAAGTGGTCAAGTACTTGCAAACACGCATCTGTTCTTCACGTGACTCCTTGGGAAATACAAGGAAGAAAAGGGGAAGTCAAAGACTGAAGAACACAGTCTACTAGGCAATCACTAACTTGGTGAGATTTACCCATGGAATGCAAGGTTGGGTAACAAAAAGTTAATGCAATTCACCATTTTGGGGGAAAGATTTATTTATTTATGCATACACAACTGGGGTACAGGCCAGAGGTGCAGGGGCAGTGAGAGGATTCACCAGATAGTGGGGAGTGGAAAGGTGGATCGATGAAGTACACTGCTGAGGGGAGCAGCGGGCAAGACCGGAGAGGTCTGCTGCACCGCATGGATTACTCCATGGCTGGGGAGAGAACTTGTGTTGAAGCTGCCACTAGGTTTTTAGTGCTTTGCTTTAACCAGTTGGCCATCGGGGAGGGCCCTCACCATTTAATAAGTAAAATGAAAGACAAAATAACTCTTTCAACAAATGCAAGAAAGCATTTAAAAAAATTTTTTTTCAGCAACATATAAATGTAAGTCACTATCCTCAGTTTGATCTAAAAAAAAAGTATTTGTGAAAAATCTGCAGTTACCTTCATATTTAATGGTAAAAGACTAAATTTCTTCCTTTTAAGACACGTAACAAGACAGTGATGCCTATTCTCACCACAGTGTGGTCTATTCTCACCACCACTTTTATTTAACACTGTATTGGACATTCTAGTCAATACATCAAGGCAAGAAAAATTAAACTGATATTCAGATTGGAAAGAAAGAAGTAAAATTCTCTCTATTGGAAGATTACATGATCATTTTACAGTCTCTCACCCCCACTAACAGCAACTATAACTTATGAGTGAGTTTAGCAAGATTGCAGGGATTTCTTAACATTACTGGACAAAATCAAATGCATTTTTATATAGTAGTAACAACTGCTGAGAAGTTGAAATTTAGAACTATGATTTACAATAACATCAAACATGTGAAAGGATAAATCTGGCAAAAGAAAGATACAACATATTGGAACGACCAACATTGCTCAGAGAAATAAATGAAGACTAAAAAACTAAAAAACCATGTCCAGGAGTTGATACTGTTATGAATGTAATTCTCCCCAAATTGATCTACAGATGTAATGTAAAATCAAAACTTCAGCAGCCTCTTTTGGTAGAAAGTGATTACACAGAATCAATTTAGGACCTCATTCTTATATTTGTATGGAAATGCAAAGAATCAGACTACTGAAACAACTTATAAAAAATGAGTTTGGAAGGCTAACATTATCTTATTTTAAGATTTATTATAAAGTCACAATAGTCAAGACTGTGGCATTGGTGTTAACATAGACTATCAGATCAATGGAACAGAATAGAGTCCAAAAATAAAGCCACATTAAAAAAAATGGACATCTTTTGACAATGCACAAAGATTTGAGTAGGAAAAGGAGAGCTTTTGCAACAAATGGAACTGGAAAGATTGGATATGTAAAAAAAAACTATATGTTGAACAAAATATGAAAACTAAAAATGAGCCAAATATTTAAGTGTAGAAGCTATTTTTTTTTAATTTATAGAAGAAAGCATAATAACCCTTTTGGTTTTGGTAGGCAGGGATTTCTTAGCTATGACACCAAAACAGTGATTCATAAGAGAATACATAGATAAGTTGAATTTTATCAAAATAAACATTTCTGTTCTTGAAAATCTACTGATAAGAGAAGTAATTTCCTATCTTATGTTTTTTAAAGGATTTGCATTGAAAATAGGTAAAGGGCTCTCAGACCTTAACTATAAGATAAAAACAATTTTTAAAATGGTAAAACACACTTGAGCAAAGATGTATGAAAGCCAGTGAGATAGGCAAAGAAGTTAAAAGTCATGGTCGGTACTAGTGGACTGTAAGTGAAGCTACTACTAGGTATCTTTTCTAGAAACAAGGTTCAATTACTGTACTGAGTGTTGGTGAGGGTGTGGTGAGCCAGCACACGTCTGCTGGTGGAAAGATAAAATGCACAGTCACTCTGGGAAACATGGCGACTCCTTAAACAACAATGCCACATGCTCAGTCATTCAAGGGCTAGGATTTACCAAAAGAAAGGAAAGTAGATGTCCATACAAAGACTTGTTTTGTGAAGCTCACAGTGCTTTCATTTGTAACAACCCCAAACGGAAAACAACACAAGTGTCCAGCAACAGGAGAATGAACGGGCAAATTGTGCTATAGCTGCACCATGGAACCATTACTTAGATGTCAACTTATAAATAAATAATCTACTGACACATGCAACAAAATGAGAAAATCTAAAACACTTAAGCTAAATGAAGGAAGCCAGGAGCGAGAATACAGACTGTATGATATGGTTCACAGTCAATTCAGAAACTGTGTTAATTCAAGATGTAGTGTAAGGTAACATCTAGGAACTGATGTCAATTAGCAGTCGCCTAGACATGGGAGAGGAAGAGAGGGGAGGAGGAGGTGATATTCACAGGGTCCCAGGAAAACTGTCAGGGGTGATGGAGCCACACGACAAGACTGATCAAATAGTTTACAACTAGTGTCTGCAGGTGCTTGTGACCCCAATACATCTTGCTAAAGCTGTTGAAAAGAAGAGGGAAACCCAGTGTGGTACAGCTAGGATTCAAACCGCCAAGGCCTGTGCTGTTCATCCTGTACCATGTGGCCTCGGCCCAGCAGAAGCTATTAACACACGCTGCCTTTTTTTCTTTTATAATTTTGTGACAGTTTATTTTTACATATTTTTGTGCATTTTTCCATCTCAGTTGCAATCCCCTTGGGTTTCCCATCACCAACTCACCCATGTGCCATCACCATAGTCCAGTGCATTTCTCTCCCCCCAATTTTTGATCCCATTTCCCATTCCACCCCCACAAAATGTCTCTGGTATATAGCTGTTCATCATTATCGCTATTTTATCGCCTGTTCTGTTATATTCCTGCTATGAGAGAAACCATCTGGTATTTTTCCTTTTCTTTCTGGCTTATTTCAGTAAGCATGATCTTTTCCAGCTCCATCCATGTTGCTGCAAAAGACATATGGTTTTTTTTTTTTTGGTTGCTGAGTAATATTCCATTGTGTATATGTACCACATCTTTTTAAACCAGTCATCCATTTTTGGGCATTTGGGCTGTTTCCATGTCTTTCCAATTGTGAATAAAGCAGCAATAAACATGGGGGTGCAGGTATCTTTTTGAAGCAGTGTTTTTGTGTCTTTTGGGTAGATACTTAGCTGGGTCATAGGAAAGCTCCATTTTTAGCAGTTTGAGAAAGTGCCAAACAGTTTTCCATAGTGGTTGTACTAGTTTGCATTCCCACCATAACACATGCTGCCTTTTACCCCCGACCCCACTTTCCCAGGGTGGGCACTTCTGGTTACCTTTTTGCCCTCCCGCTTCCCCAGACAGCAACAGACTCTTCCTCCTTAGACCTTTGGATTCCTAACTTCAGGGGGCTCCAGCTCTCAGCACCAGCCTTGGCCCGTCTCTATGCTTCTTACTCCCTCTGCCTGCTTCTACTCTGCCTGGGAGGAAAATAGCAAAGGTAGAAACTGGAAGTCCCAGGTTATTTAGGACAAGTTGGAAAAGGTGGCTGAGAAAGCCCATGCAGAGGTGGGATGTGGGCATGTCTAGATGCTGGTGAACGTGGGAGGAGCGGGGATGTGTGGGCAGTTTCTGAAACACTGAAGTGTCTGGGGGTCCACACATCTGCAGGCTCTGATGCCATTAACGGGCATAAGCTAACTTAGGGAAGGCGAGACCCCATTTCTGCTGGATGATGAAAACATTCAAGAACCACTGTATGAGCTGTAACCCATCACACCCTCAGTTTTCACATTTAGTACTGAGGAAAAAAGGTCATGCATGTTTCAGAAAGCACAGCAATGGAGTTCAGGTTCTCCAGTTACTCTGGCACCAAAGAGTGCAAAGAGCCTTTCTCACTCAGGACTTTGTATTTTGTTTACCTTCAACCAGCCCGCAAAAAAGCCTTAAAAGGAACGGTATAAGGTTACTCCTCTTTTATCCTATTTTGTGTCATGCAGATCAGGGCATGGCCTTGTGCTAGGAAAATAATGATTTTTAAAATGAAATAGCACGTTTTGCAACCTAATTACACAGACAGGAGAAACTCAGCTATTATTCCATGTGCATCACAGATTAAAGGGCAAAGACAGGGACCCATCTGGACTTTCTGACTCTAATAGTCCATTTGATGTAATGGAATAAAATGTATAATGTACGTGTAGTAAAATAGAACAAAAGGCGCGGTTTTGACTGTGCCAAAGAATAATATTATAAAATACCTATAATTATACCTGCATGACTCAAAATGAAAGTCACATTTAGACAATGGAAAATCGATGTTGCTGTATACCCAGTGGAGTTTCAGTCACAGAATTCTCAATGTTACACGCGGGGCTTAATCTGGATGGGTGAGCCCACACCATTTGCTTTTCTCAGTAATTTACATGGCTACAGGTGGCTAGAGAGAGCAGATCTATAATCGATGAGCTAAGTAAATGGTAATTAATAGCAGGTAGATGCATCATCAGCTTTTCAGATTTGTGAAGTCATAGCTGCAAGGTTCGAGGAATATAACTCAGCTGGCTTTCACTAACTAGTACGTTATTTATATTCTACACGTACATCTGATGTCTAGACTTTACCAACTGAAACACCCATATACCCTCTTGCCCCAATCAGAGGCATTATACTAATTTTACTCCACTTTCGAGAAACTCTCCAGCTCATGTTTACTGAATACCTGGGAGGTGGCCAGGAAATGTTCATTTCTCCTAAATCTGTCACTTAATTCTTACAACAGTTCTATAATGTAAGGATCAGCTCCATTCTACAGATGAAAGAGCAGATTTATAATCAATGAACTAAACAAGTGATCATTTCAATAAATTGCCCAAGATCTCATAAAAAATTACATGTAAATCTTTGATGAAAATCCAGAGCTAACTACAAAGCACTCTGAAACTCTTTTAACTCACCTTTCTACAATTTTGTGGTTCCCAAACTTTGTTGAATGTTAAAGTCACCTTACTATCAGGCCCTCCCTGGTGGCGCAGCACTAAGAAGCAGAAGCCACTTTAGCTCGAGTTCAATCCCCGCCCTGGAGGTGACCCACAGGGCGCGGCAGACCTCTCCTGACCCGCCCGCTGCTCCCCTCAGCAGTGTACTTCGTCGATCTGCCTGTTCTGCTCCCCACTCTGTCTCTGGTGAAGCCTCTCACCCTCCGCATCTCTGGCCTGTGCCCCAGTTCTGTATGCAGGAATAGATAAATCTTAAAAACAAATAAACAAGAAAAGACAATGGACAGACTTCCAGTCGGTGAGAACAGGTAGAAGGAGACAGGATAAAGTGAGCACAGAAGTAGACAGATGGGAAAGGGACAGAGGAAAACCGGTGTCAGGGACCGGAGGCCTTGGGGCAGAGAGGAGGGGAGAAACTGAGGCTACACAGTTACCTGCTGAGAATGGAAGAGCAGTGACATGAGGCTGCAGGTTTGGAGCTGTGGCTGTGCCGGGCAGGCTGTGAGAGATTACTCTGGAATTCCAGTAATGGGTCCTGGTTGCAATATTGTCCCCAGGTCAAAGATTTTTAAAAAAACCAGGAAGCACGGACATTTTAAAATCAGAAGCTGTCACTTCGTTATTGACCAAGGGGGAGACAAGAGTCTTGGGCACCCGGCCCCTCTGAGGTGGCCGCGCTCACTGCCAGGGCTTTGCTCTGAGGGCCGCCGACTGTCTCCTCCAGGAGCAATGCTTTGTCCTAGACCCTTCCCCCACACCCACCACCCAAACGAAAGCCCGCTGGAGTTCTGCTTACCACACAGCCCTGGCTAGAGCACTTCAATCACGCCAAGAAATATCAAGAGTGATTCATTGTTGAAAGTAAATGGAGACCGAGGAACGGTCCAATCAGACTTGTAAACAGATGAGCACAGGCATGGAGACCCACACGCTCCTGCACGCACCGTGTACACAGCCAGCCCAGCCCACACTCGGCCCCTGGGCTCTAGAAGCAACACAGAGTGAACGATCAGACACCTAATGGCGTTCTTGACCCTGGGTAATAGCTGCTTGGAAGCTTCGATTACCACCAAAGCGATGCTTTTCAAAACTCATCTGTATTAATAAGACAGGCAACACTTCTGGACCACGAGTATGGTGCCTCGTAGGACTGTTAGTACGGTCTTGCTCTAGACTCCTAATGTGCCTGTCTTTATGAGAAGCAGCTCCTGATCCTTCGGCCTTGGGTGTTTCCGATCACAATGCTGGAATTTCCAAGGTGGAGTGGGGGGAGGCTGAAGTCTTTACAGATTTTGCTCCACAGAGCAGGGGCAGACTCCATGACAGGTGAGAAATCAGCCTCACCAGTGCGCCAAAAGCCTTTTAAACCAGGGAAATATTTGAAGCTTAACCTCGTGCTACCTGCAAAACAGCAACGCCTCAACTTCGAACTATCTAGACTGGACATGTTGAAGCCATTTGTGTCTCTGCTTAGCTGTGTGTGTGTGTGTGCAGAACTTGGGGGTGCATAATTCAAGTGCACATAGGCACAGTGTGTTTGCTTCTTGCAAAGGGACCTCTGTGAATCCATCATCTAAGCTTCTAATGGCCAGCTAATAGCAGCTTGCTCTGCTCTCTGCTTCCCTGCAGGGTGACTAATTAATAAACGTTCCCTTAATTGAGTTCTGGCTGCCAAATCCACAGGGATTATTACTTATATATAAGTAAACAAAATTTCCATTTTAAACAACACTCCAAATCTCTTCATTATATTTTAAACAGATAGAAATTCACTGAAGTTAAGGAAATAGGAGGCTGTGTACACACTCCTTCCTTGCAAAAAGCCAGATGCTCTGGCATGCAGGTGACACCCCCAGCTCCTTGGGGGCTCACCTGGTCCCCACACCTGCCCTTTCTTGCCCATTCTTTGATCTCATCTACTGACAAACCAGAAAGTATCTGAAAGAAGTCCTACAGGCCATGGATGGTATTTGCCTTTTGTTTTAACCTGAATTTATTATTTAAAAGCAATTCCCTTTCACAATTTATAAAGAGGAAGAAGGTAAGTTTAATGTTAAATATTTAATAAGTACCCAGGTTCACTAAGTACCAGCGTCGGGTGGATTGACAGGTTTAGCTGCTACACTGCCGTAGAAGCTGAAATTTAAGTTCTTACAGCTGAAGTAATTGAATTAACCCTGTGTTTTCAAGGTTCTTCCTTACTTTCAGATTCCAAATTGAGAGCAGAACCATGAAAAGAAAAGAAAAAGAAAAGAAAAAAAATAAACTAAAACAGAGCTGGCGCTTGGTTTGAAACCTAGAAGGAGATTATCCTGCCTCTTCAGTTTTTCTGCTCAGTGCCATTTGGAAGCTATTTGGCTCAAGATTAAGATCTTTACCAAGATGCCTTTTGCTGAAAGTACAAGGATTCACTGCAGGCTCTGATTATTATAATTATTGACATCTTAAAAGAATAAAATAAACATGTTTCAGGCCCCCACATTCCACTGTAAGACACAACCCAGAAAAAAAAAGAAAAAGTAAGAGCAGGATTTAAAACCAGCTCCCAGATTGTTAGGAGAGATGTGGAAAAAATTCTGTTATAGCTTTTGACAGTTTAGATCTGCTCGTTCCTATCCTAATAATCCCTGGCTTCCCACTTTAAGGAATTTACTTTAAACAGAAGTGCTAGATACGACGTGAGCCTGTCACTGAACATCAGCCTCTCTAGAAAGAGTTCCACAGAATACTTTGCTCATGCCCAGTCAGGCCTTTCTCCTCAGTGCTGGTCAAGGGCACCCCGTCTTCATCTGGCACAGCTCCCTGTGTAGTTTCCAAGCCACCGTGAGGCTTAGGGGCAAATAGGGGACCCCATTCACAGATCCTAGTTGGATCCTAGTCTTCTATACGCTAACCGTAATGTTTGTCTGGGCCTTTGGCAACACTTCGAAAACCATCGAACCACACCTTTGAAAACCCAGTGAGGTCAACAGACCACTTTGCCACTAAGGAGGACACTTGTATAGCAGCTGAGTCTAATATTCACTACTTGGCAGAGAAAGGTTGAGCCTTGCACCAAGTCAGTGCCAGCTTTGAAATCATGACCCAGAGGGGGCCTTATAACCCTCAGGTTGGGTTCCTGGGGTTCCTGGCAGTGCAGCTGGCTCAGAACAGGCCCCAAACCCTGGATTTTTACAGGGAAATGTAATGTCACTGATGGGCATTACTGGAAGGAAGGAGGCAGTCGTCCATCTGGTCACTCACTCAAAGTCTGACTTATAGACTTACATATATGACTTTGTTTCTTTCAGTTCCATACACAGACTCAAGCTAAGGGCTAAAGAACCTATGGCCTGGGAGCTCTGCTAGATACGAGCTGTCTTCCATGCTGACACCATGAGGCTCTGTGACCAGTAAGATCGTGTTAAGCAGCTGTTTCCTGTTTCAAAATGGTTCTCTCCTGCTCCCATGGCAATGAAATTCACACGCTATCTTGGATGTGCAAAAGGAAGCTCCAGCCCAGACTCCACATGGAGTCACCAAGGTGGGAGCTCCGTGCTGGGGAGTGGGGCCCACGGTGCGGGCTGCTTCCTGAGGCCCATGAGGGGGTGCGAGGCAGGCAGAGCGCACTTACTTCCCCCCTTCCCGCTCTTCTCCATGCGGTACTGGTAGATGTGCAGGGTGAAGAGCATGTGTGAGTTCCGGCGGTCCTCCTCGTCACAGTCCTGCTGGCCGCCCCGGCGGGAAGCAATGGCCGCGTCCAGGAAGAAGGCGGCCTTCTCTGCAGTGGGCGCCCGCAGCTCGCTCTGGTTCTGCAGCTGGAAGACATAAGCTAAGAGCTGAAGGCTCACGCTGGGGGGGGGGGGGGCTGGCCTGCTTGCTGCCGGCTGCCCGTTCTGCACAGCAAGCTCTGTGCCTCTTGGCGGCCAACCGTCCCTCCAGAACAAGGGCTTCTATGCCCGTGCAATTCCCAGCTTGCTTCATTTCCGAATTACAACTGAGCACAATTAGGGGTGACGTGCATTTTTACTTATTTTCCAATTTAAAATAATCTGTAATAATAGGTGGGAAGAGCAGACGCTTGTACCGTCTGAGCGCTCAGTGGTGTGGATGAGCCACCCTGGTGTCAGCAGAGAACAGCAAAGGAACATCTCGGCTACCCATGTACCCGAGCCCACACGGGGGGCCGCCTCTGGGTGCCACAGACCAGACAGACACAGGTAGTTGCAGGACTTGATTTTCACCCAGACACCACTGGCATCCCAAAGAGGCAAAACTGACATGGTTCCTTTTAGCTCAACTGTCCGTTTCTCCAGCTATTTAATTAGGCCAATTTTAGGCCACATGGGCCAGCATAGTTTTAAATAAGAAGCAGCTGCATGAAGACACCTAAGAAACCTGAATGTCTAATCTGTGAAACTTAAGGCAAGCTTACTTTTATCTTGAATCTCCAGGTTCATGGTCATGGCGAATTCATTCACCCATACGTTTTGAGTCCTGCAAGACCCCTCGGCAGTAACAGTAAACCTCAGGCAGGACAACATCATTAAGAGTGACCAGCGCTTTTTGGGTAGATTAAAAGAAACTCCCATTTCTGATTTATTCAGAATTGGTACAAATTCTAACAATTTTTTGCTCTGACGGTACCTGATCTACAAGCGTCCACTTTGACAGCACAAATGTAGAACCCAACACTGTCAAAGCCTTCAGAGCTCAGAGAGGAGTTCTGTTTTCTTTGTTTTATACTCACTATGGCAGAAAAATAAACCAAATAATTTTTTTATCTTTTAAAAATTATTATAATAGTTTATTTTACATCATTTTGTGCCTTTTCCCATCTCAGTTGTAATCCCCATGGGCTTCCCATCACCAAATCACCTGTGTGCCATCACCACAGTTCCATGCACTCCCACCCCACCATTTTTTATACCATTCCCCACTCCACCCCCGTAAAATGTCTCCTGTATATAGTTATTCATTATTATTTTTATTACTATTGTTTTTCCTCTTGGTCCTTTATGCTCCTGCTAAGAGTAAAACCATCTGGTATTTTTCCTTTTATTTCTGGCTTATCTCACTCAGCATGATCCCTTCCAGCTCCATCCATGTTGCTGCAAAAGGCATGTGTTTATCTTTTTGATGGCTGAGTAATATTCCATTGCGTATATGCACCACATCTTTTTAATCCAGTCATCTACTTTTTAAAACCATCATCTACTTTTTAAGGTTCTTTCAACAAGAAGAGTTCAAACAAAAAGGATGTTGGCCTCTTCCCCCTCTTAACATTCAGGTAACCAGGTCTTTCACTTAAGTGGTCCTTTAGTAATGGAGGCCGGAGCACCGTGGGTGTCTCGGGGCTACTGCCAGTGTGGCCTGTCTCTGGGAAGCTCGTTGGAAGCGCTCAGCCTGAGGCCCCTCCTGGCCTGTTAAAATCAGTCTGCATTTTATCAAGACCCTCGTGATGTTTTATGCACACTGATGTTTCAGGCACGCTGCTTTCTGAGAGGACTTAACTATAATGTCAGAGGCGTGCAAAGACAGGAATGGTTAAGGGGCGATGCTGCTTAGGGGCCAGGTTATGAGCCTTGCAAATCATGAGTTCCTGAAAGGAGAATTTCTAACAAAAATCAAGGGTCTCCGCTGCTTTAAACAGCAGAAGAACACGGTCTGGGACGAGCAGATGGGAACAATAGGGGCCCTGTGGCCTCCTCAACCATCCTACATGGGATGAGGCGGGTTTTCTCAAGCTAACACCTACTTAAGAAAGGTCGCTTCCGATAATCTTACAAGATAAAGATGACTTCTACAGTTTGAAGAACTGATTATTCTGGATATAAGCCAGGGGACTCCGGAGTCACTCCTGCATTTATTGCTAAACAGCAAGGGAGAACAATCGTAACAGGCATGACATCCTGAAAAGGCGAACCGGAGTTCCTCTTGGCTTCAGAGTTCTAGCAATTATATCATGGTTCTAATTAGAAAGTGGTTATTAGTTTTTCCTATAGCACTACTAATCCGGCTGTAAACCAGGGCCAGAAAGAGTTTATAGAGCCATAAACAGCCTCGGTAATGGCTGTCCTATTTGTGCCGAGCAGTAAATATTTCGGTTTGTTGTTAAACAAAAGAAAGATTGTACTTTTTTTTTAAAGGGCGTAAAGAAAGTGAATTCAATTTCCCCCAAATGCTACAATTGTGGTTCCTGCTCATTGTCAATTAGCTTCAAGGTACAAATATTTAGGTTTGGCGAGCAGATGGCCCTGCAGCTGCAGGCCATAAAGTTCCAGTCTACTTTAGTGTAAACACTTGTAAGCCTCCTCAGTTTACATGTGCAGCGAGTCACGGGCTGAACTGCCCCAGCCTGCAGGGGAGTGGGAGCCACCTCAATGCCTGCAGAGGGCCAGAGCCATCACCTGCTCACCTGCGTGCCACAGATGGGGTCCTCACACAGATACACGCCCGGGGACTGGCCATCCTGCAGGCTGCCCGTGGCCACCTCAGACAGCAGGTCCCGAAGGTTCTCGTCTTTGCCCCACACTTCCACCGCTGAGATCCGGACTGAGAAACGGGCTCCGGTCTTTTCTTTCCGTTCGTTTATGAGCTTGAAAAGCCAAGAGATGGCGCAGGGGATGATGCCCAGGTTCTGCATGGAATCATCCTTTCCGATCATCGTATAGGATTTTCCTGGGGGAGTAAGAGGGGACAGAAGAGCAGTTTGAGTTTCCATTTTGAAGCATCTTCAGAACAGATGCCGAGGAGGCGGGACAAAGGCATGGGGCAGTGGCCAAGCAGAAAGGCAAAGAAAAGGTGAGAGGAAGCTTGAAGCCGTCGACAACAGCTGCAAGAGACCTTTTCTAGCTTGGCCAGCTGAATGGCTAGCGTGAAGAATGGCAGCACTGAGATCAAACCACACTTTAGCTGGAGGAGGACCCAGAAGGCAGAAGCTCTCCAGTTTCTGCCCTGTTCTACACAAAGCGGGAAGGCGAGGATCTTTAGTCACTGCTAGGGCTCCTTTTATCACTACCCCGCAGATTAAACCCACATACTTCACTGTATATCGTTTCTCCAGTGAGATCTGTATATACTTCTATAGCATGAGCAGATTCCAATAAAATCTGGACCACAGCTTTGATCAGACTGGCAGTGAGAGGAAATGAGCTTTCTGGCCTGGAACTGGCCTCCACCATTTACAAGGCATCACTGGAATCTCTGACAAAGGACACTCTGGAGCTCCCCAAATTACTCACTTATCACCCACATAAGGTGAAACCCCGTGAGCAGATGGCCAAGGTCGGAATTAAGGCTGCACCTCGAGGGAATTCAACCATCGGAACCCCAGCAAGGCTCTGCTGCACCCCTGGGGGCTGGTTGAGGGACATTCCTGCAGCCATGTGTACAGGAAACCAAGCATGCTGCAGCCTGCTCTCCCCAGGCACCCCAACATGCATCTGGGCTTTCTGGGAGGCTGCTCCTTTGGCCTTTGGCTTTAATATTGCTCCATCCATGAACCCTAATCCTCAGCAGGGGCAGCGTTGTGGGGGGGGGATGGAGTAGGAACCCTATCTGCTTTTATATGATTTGCCACTATCCCTGCTCAGGAAATTGACATTTTGCTGTTACCTTTCAGGGCAGGACTCTGACCTCAGTTGGGTGGAAAACAGCCCTATAACTGCTTTATTTAGCCCTTAGACTGCAAGGTTTTCCTAAATGATAAGGGTTCACTCAGGGTAACACCTACATTTGCACAACAGAAAGGGTGATGATGATTACTTAATGCAGTGCTGATGAAAACAGCCTTACCTTTTTGACTGCCGAGTAATATTCCATCACATATAGATACCACAACTTCTTGACACGATTATCTATTTTTGGGCATTTGAGTTGACAGGATGGAATATTACTCAGCAACTGAAAAAGATAAACTCATGCCATTTGTGGCAACATGGATGGAGCTGGAAGGGATCATGCTGAGTGAAGTAAGCCAGAAAGAAAAAGAAAAATACCAGATGGTTTCACTAATAGCAGGAGCGTAAGGGATCCAGAAAAAAAGAAAAAAAAAAAAAAGCAGTAGGAGAGGGGAACAGGGCCAAAACTGGGGCGGGAAGAGCACATGGGACTATAATGATGGCACAGGGGTGAAGTGGTGGTGGGAAGTCCACGGGGTTACAACCGAGATGAAAAAAAATGGACAAAATGAAGAATGATGAAATACACACATTAAGTAAGTAAATAAACGAGAAGAATGAAAAAGAGAAACAGCCTTTCCTTTCGTCGAGGGCTCTGGGGTTCATACAGAAGGGTACATGTATGACGGGGAGCCCAAGGGGAAGAGCGAAGGGGGAAGCGCTCACTGACCCAGCTTGGCGTGGCCGAAACAGAACACACAGCCGTCTGCCCCGTTGACCACGGACTGGATCACCTCAGCCACGGTTCCAGCACACACTTCAGCCTGGCGGACACAAGAGCAGATGTGAGTGGTGAGTGGACCGTCCACAGAAAGAGAAGCCCGCTGCTGGGGCTCGGGGCTCAGCTCGGGAGTGGCCTGCCGGGGTGTCAGGGCTCGGCTCGGGGCGGCCTGCCTCTCGCAAGTTAAGTCTATGCACCCCAAACGACTTTTGTGCTCCTCTGTGGTACATTCCAGCTGCTGCCTCACAGCCCGGGGAGGCCCAGGCTGCGGTGAACACAGCTACGGGTGTCCTGCTGCCCACGCCCTTCCCAGATCTGCCATGCTGGCCTCCTGGACAGGGCACTCCAACTTTGATTCACCCTCGGCTGAATAGACCCTTCAAAACACACGCACAGCTTATTTATTGAAGGGATGAAAGATGACGTTCCGTTTCAGTGCAGTGACCTTGAGATGAGTTGTGGTTCCAGCGTAAGCAGGTTTCTCCTCCTGTCTGCTTTCTCTCCCAGTTCCCTGTTTTTTTTTTCAATCTACCGCCACCTCTTTCCGCGCCAGCCTTCTCCTGCAGTCTCTGAAGACACATTCCCCGTATGCAGCATGCATCTCGGTTGGCGTCATGTTACAACGCGCTCTCCGGCCTGCAGTGTGCATCTCGTCTCCAGCTTCCTATTAACACCAGGGGCCAGGCTCTCCTTGAGACTTTCTGGATTTCTCTATTCACACACGATATCGTTCTCTGAATATGGTCAACATCTTAACGGGGATGCAAAGCGAGATTACTGCATTAAAACATTACAAAATAGTTCTCTGCAAACAAACAGGAGGGTGTCGGGATATTTTGTGGCCCCGCTTGGAGACAGAGAGTCTTCCTGGTTAGCATCTGCGGCGTTTGCAGCAGCTGGAAGACCAAATTATTTGCGGTGCGCTGCAGCCCTCGTTTCTGTTCGGCGCCGGAGTTAGAGTCCGATCTGAGGAAGGATGGGAAGCCGCAGAGGCACACGGAGGCTGTCTGAAGCCTGGCGTTTGCAGCCGAGAGCGCTGTTCCCCGCCGGGCCCCAGGCCCGCAGCCCCTGCCGCGGGTGTAGTTATTTAGCTCAGCTTACATAGCCACGCTGGACCTAAATATTCAGAAATCAGTTTTCTCTCCCAAACTGATATTAAAAAAACACTCTCTCCAGGCCCTCCCTGGTGGCGCAGTGGGTCATCCCGCCCTGGAGGTGACCACAGGGCACAGCAGACCCCTCCTGACCCTCCCGCTGCTCCCCTCAGCAGTGGACTTGGTCAGTCGGCCTGTTCTGCTCCCCACTCTGTCTCTGGTGAAGCCTGTCCCGCCCCTGCACCTCTGGCCTGCACCCCAGTTCTGTGTGCATAAATAAATAAACCTTAAAAAAACACACATACTCCCCACAACTGTCAGGCATGCCCGTGGCCACTTCAGCAACTCTGTTGGGGGTCCCCCGAGCAGTGTGGACAGCAGGACGGGCTGCCACGGGACCCCGGGCCACAGCCCCAGAACCTGGGCAATGAGAAGTCAATGCCAAACCCTGTGAGAAGCAGCAGGGCGTGGTTCAGGCTGCAGAGGCACTTCCGCAGCCAAAGGAGGCTTTGTTGAGAACAAACGACTCTGCCTTCTTCAGAGTCGGGGGGAGATAGCTAGCCCACGTGCCCCCGCGTAAAGTAACCTGTGCTCAGCTCCAGGTGAGCAGGGAGGGTGCAGGTCACTGGTGGAGCTGACCCACGGGCTGATGCAAACTCACCTGCACAAAGGTTCAATGAGAGACAGGGGCGGTTCACAGGGCACGGGCGGGGGAGACCTCGCCTCACAGGACTCTGGCCAAGAATACAGAGCAGTGATCAGCGATCTGTCCGGGGTCTGTTAGAAGGTGACAGTGGCCCCTGGAGGCCCCTGGCTGCCTCTGCCTTGGGCCTAGAGCAGTGAGGAGCCTCCCTCAGCACAGAGCCTGGGGGAGGTCTGCAGGAAGCTTCTGCTCATAGGTCTGCAGCCCCCAGCCTGCCTAGCCCCTTCCTCGCCCACCAAATTCACATGTGGAAGCCTAACATCCAGTCGGGCAGGATTAAGGGGAGGGCCTGGGGTGGTGATTAGGTTAGGACCGTGGTGCCACGGGCGGGATTCACATCCATGTAAAAGACATCCAGAGAGCTCTCTCTGCCCCTTTGCCACGTGAGGATGCAGCAGGGGACAGCTGCCCTCGAACAAGGGAGGCGTGCCCGTGGCTCCCTGCACACGGGTCCAGGCACACACTGGCCAGGAACCAGCCCGTGAACTTCATGGCTGATATGTCGTGTCCACACATCTTTGCCTTTAGCACGCTCCTTAGCCACGGAGACTCAACGCTTTTATTCTCAAACTCAGCCCCCAGACCTGGATAATCACATTCCCTGTCTTAACTGAGGCTAGGTTTTAAGCTCAGCCCTACCTCCTTGCCAATCGATTTACACGAAAGCTTTTTTCTTTTCTCAAAGCCTGATGTCCTGGAGTCAGCTTCTTGCACACTCAGTAGGGAGCGTAACACTTGTTGCTTGGTAACACTCTGGACAAGGCCTTATTGGTTGAAGCTCAGTTTCCTTGTCTGTAACGTGAACACAGCAATGCCTTCCTTTCCTACACCACTGGATTCCAGGAAGAGACAAACAGGCTGGTGGATGTGAAAATGGACAATTTTATATAGAAGTGTAATTTATTTAATATTGGAATATTTTTAAGATTTACTTTTTTACACAAACAGAACTGGGGTGTGGGGGATGAGAAGATTCACCAGAGACAGAGCGGGGAACAGAACAGGCAGTTTGACGAAGTCCACTGCTGAGGGGAGCAGCGGGCGGGTCAGGAGAGGTCTGCCGCGCCCTGTGGGTCATCCACCCCCGGCCAGGGACCAAGCTTCTCCTCCAGAGGCTGCGGACATCCTCACAGGTTGTGCTTTGACCTGTTGCACCACCAGGGAGGCCCCATAATATTGGAAATGTTAACAAAAGCAAAACAATCTGAAATGAGTGCAACAGTAATCTTGAGCCCAGTAAGCTCTGGAACCAAGTATCACATGTAAGTAAAGACTAAGAATAAAGTGGCTCCTTTTCCTGGAATAAATCTAAAGGGCATTAATAATCCATGCTTACTATAGGATTTGTTTTGGGATTCATGCAGCTAAGGGAGATTTGCTTCTGAAAAATTTTAACCGATTTAATTAAATTACGCGGAGGCCATGTATCAGCCCCCTGTCAGGTCTAGATTAGTGAGGTCACTGGTTGGGATAATGCATGGCGGTTACTCGGAAAGTACTTTGTCTACTCATGGTAAAACTCCGGGGAAGCCGCACGCTCAGCTTCGTGCTGGATGGCACCGTCAACGTGCCGAGTGTCACAGAGGAGTCACGTCTTATACCCACATGCAGCAGCAGGGATGAGCAGAAGCTGCAGCGGCAGCACCTGTATCCTCAGGTTCCACTACAGGCTGCACTAACCCTCCCACATCTTGTTTCGCTTAAAGCTTCGGGCTTGCTGGAAACGTATCACGGAAGTGCTGGTGTCCTGTCAAAGTATTGGCTAAGGAGGCCCTGTGTGCCGGGTTGTAGATTTCTCCTCCAAGATTCATTTGCACCGATTCATTTCAGACCCCGCCAGATGGTACAAGAATCTTCTGACAGACATCCGCTCCGACTGTGGTTGGAACTCCAGGAGCTTTGGTGCAGGAATCTTGGCCATCTGGACACGCAAATGAGCTCCTGATGATGCTCGAGCCACAATAAGTATGGTGCCACCATTCTCCACCCCTCCCGATGTTCATGCCTCTTGCAACGAGCCTCTACAACTGCTCCAATCAAAAGGTGCAGTCTCTTCACACCTCTCGCATCTGTGCCAGAACACGCAGGAGTGATGACGTCTGTTGAGCTTAGATCTCAAGATGCCTCTATGCGAGGTCCTTGCCACTCCCTGAGAGCAAACCCAAGCTAGCCCGCTGGACAATGGGAAGCAAGGAGGAAGGGAGACCAGGTGACCTGATCAGCGTCATTCTGGCCCAGTTAGGGCTGCCAATTCCCAGGTGTGATGGCATCTGGACAAAACCAGCTATTTCCTACCCAACCCGGAGCTGATCACAGATACAAAGTGAGCTGAGCTAGCACCAGAAAAACTTGTCAGCTGACCCAAAGGTGCTTGAGAGCCAAAAAGTACTTACTGTTTTAAGCCTTTGAATTTTAGGGTGGTCTGGATTTTAGGTAAGCAGAAATAGCAGCCTGATAACAGCTATCTCTAGCCCCCCTCTTCCTCACCTCCTCCCCCCTCCCATCCAGGCCACAGGAGTGCATGCCAGCCTCAGTTTCCCTGCTGAGCACTCCAGTTCCTCCGCAGGTCTTCAGACCAGCCCTCAAGATCTCTGTGAAAAACAGGCTTTTCTCTCTTAATGTCCACACCCAGAGGCCGAGGCAGGGGTGGGGCCCCTGGAGAAGTCACTGGCACCTCACTGCAACTTGCGATCGTATGGCAACCACGACTGACTACTCTTCCCCCCCCCCCACCCAAGGGTATCATTTTTTGAAATACTGGCACAATTATTCTGTCCTAGGTATGACACCTGCAATTCAAAAAGACTGAACTAGCAATGGAGCTATCCTGTAAAAGGAACCTGACGGGTATCTCGCTGCTACCTTAACTGAAAAAAAGGAAAGATGCTGTGCAGATGGGGCAGCTGGAAGCTCACCCTCACAGGTGCTAGTGATCAAATAAAACCTTTCTGAAATAGCCAACATCGCCGGGTCTGAGCTGGGTCTAGCGCACCTGAGAGGCATCCTGTGGGAAAACTGCATCAAAGGCAAACATCTTAGGAGGCACTTGGCTGCCTCTCTTTGGGAAGGCGTTGTGACCTCCGCACGCCAGGGGATCGTACAAGGTGATTTGCTTCTTCCGTGGATCCACCTTTAAGAAAGAGCTGGATTCCGAGGTGTCACGAGCCAGTGCGCAGCAAATGCGAAGCATGACCTTCACCTGTCAAGAAACAAAGGCAGAAACGCGGTGGGTTAAGGCAGGTGGCTACTTGGGATGCAGTTCCCACCTCTGTGCGAGAAACAGAAGTTCACACGGCAGCACAGAGTCCTCGCGTGATAAATTACGATGAGAAGCACAGTGAATTAGCCGCATCGCCCTCATGGGTCATGGGAAACTGATTTATTTATAATTACCAGGTAGACTATTTTGATATGTCCATTACTTTATTACCGATACGGCACATCGTGTTCTTTGTCTTTCTATTAATGTAAATTGAAAATTAACTGTGCCCTGGTGGCCCAATTACACAGATGAAAAGGTAAGCCGGACTGCCAAGCTTTCGGGACTGGTGCAGTTCCCTTGAAGCTCACAGATCAATAAAACACAGACATAAAAGTTAGCTCCGTAATTTACTCCTCGCCCCGCACGTCAGGAGTCCTAGAGACTAAAATCCACAGTTATTAGTGTCATCATTAAGGGCTTGTGAAATGGCCTGTTTTTAATGACCAACATTTGAAATGCGTTCCAAGGGGCAACGGTGATAAAAGATTTGTTTGAAAACATGTTATTGAGTGCATAGAAGTTGTCATTTCAGCGAACGAAAGCTCATCTCAGTGAGGAAACAGGAGGCGTCCGCCTTTCATCCAGCTCCTGAGTAACTGAACACGAACACGTCTAGTGCTCAAGACCCACCCAGCTCCACCTCCACCACCGAGCGAGGCGCTTATGGAAATGCACTGCCTGGCACGGAGGAGCAGGAGTGGAGCTGAAGCCACACACCGCGCTGGCTGCTCACGGGGAAGGGAGAGCATTTGTTGCTCCCAGTTCTCTGCTACTGTGGGCTAGTGCAGCTCAGCTGTGTGGAGCACCCAGTGCCAGAGGCCGGTGTTCCCTGGGGACGCCAAGACAGGTAACATACATAGAGCTGCAGGACAGACACAGACACGGACACACACACACACACAGATTTTTTTTTTAAAGATTTATTTATTCATACAGAACTGGGGTACAGGCCAGAGGCTCAGGGACGGCGAGAGGCTTCACCAGAGACAGAGTGGGGAGCAGAACAGGCAGATGGACGAAGTACACTGCTGAGGGGAGCAGCGGGCGGGTCAGGAGAGGTCTGCCGCGCCATGTGGAGCTCCTCGGGGGCAGGCGGGGATCGAACTCATGCGGAAGCGGCTTCAGCTTCCCAGTGCTGCGCTTTAACCCGCTGCGCCACCAGGGAGGGCCGACACACAGATTTTTGTAGAATAATGTGGCATATTCTGAAGCTATGTGTAGGATTATTTTGAAACTCCTTTCTGTGTCTAGCCCTCTTCAGTTAATTAACTGTTAGGTCTGAGAAATCTCAAATCCTACAGCTTTTTTTTTTTTAAGATTTATTTATTTATGCATACAGAGCTGGGGTACAGGCCAGAGGTGTGGGGGGTGAGAGGACTCACCAGAGACAGAGTGGGGAGCAGAACAGGCAGATCTACTGAAATACACAGTTGAGGGGAGCAGCAGGGAGACAGGAGAGGTCTGCTGCGCCCTGTGGGTCCCTCCCTGGCCGGGGATGGAACTCAGGCCATAGCGGTAGAACATTGAGACTTAACCCCTAGGCCACCAGGGAAGCCCCAAAGGTCCAAATCCTGCTTTTGAGGTCGTATAATGATAGCTGCTGTGTGTAGCAGGCTTGTGCACGTGAGGACGATACTCTTACCCAGCGTCAGACCTCCTCCTCCCAACAAGTCAGTGATGGTGAACTGACCCAGGTTGTATGTTTGAGAAAACGGATGCCACAGAAGCCGCCCCGATCAGTGGCCTGTGCTGCCGAGGCTGGCCGCTGACTCCCAGGGCCACACTCCAGCTCCCCGCGCAGACCCACTCACACCGCCCCATTTCCGCACTGGGGCAACAGGACTTGTCAGAATGAGATGAACTGACATGCGAAATGCTGAACACGGGGCGGGGCTCCTGTTTCTCTGCCCCTTTCCCGCACCTGCCTGTGTCGAAATGAGGATACCCTCCCGTTTTCCAGTCAGGGTTACAGATAAGCTTTCAGACTCTTTGCCCTGGATGCCAGATGCCATGAATCACCAATCAGATGCTACTGGGGAGTCACTGCAGGCAGAGCTAGGTGCTAAGCACGAGGTCTCACAGGCTCCCGTGCTAAGACATCATCAGGTCCCGTAGTCACTGCCTGTGCGACAGTGACCGTCATGTCTGTCTATCCGGGCACTTTCCTTGTTCACTGTGATTTCCTCCAATCATAGTTCAGTTCCGCTCATCTCTACTGATGTGCCCCCGGATGCTGCAAGCTCGCTCAGAGCACACACTCAGACCCAACCTCGGGAGAGGTCCAGGGCTTGCAGGTTTGCGGCGAGCAAGCTCCCGAGCCCAGCCCACGAAGGGTCTGACTCAAGGACGCGGCAACGCCAGGCAGAACTGATGGAGCCGCACGGCCCACTGCCTTTCTATTTCGCAATTTTGCATGTAATTTCTGGGTAACTAGAGGTGCTGAATATAAAATACGAGCTCAGCCAGGCGAGGGCCTAGAAGGAGCAGGAGCGAGGGGCTGAATTAGTGAGTCATCTGTCTGGCAGGAGTGCCCCGGCATCTTAATGAGGCTCCAAGCCTTCACTTCAGTTTCTACAAAGGTTCAAGGTCCCGCCGCCGCTCCGGCCAAGCATCGACCTGGCTCGTTATAATTCAGTGAAGTCTGGGTCGGAGGAAATGCCACACTCCATTCTTTCCCTTGCAATTCATTTATATAAATGATATTTCCCCCTTAAAGCGGGAAAATGGGTTTTTCTGCTTCATGTCCTTTGTATCATTATTCCTTTAGTCCAGCGCTCCACTTCCTACTTAATCTATTGTAATTAAAGTGCTTAGGAGACACCACTTAGGATCGGGAAAGCCTCTTGGACTTCTTGCCAGAAACTCTTGCTTTGCTGCAAACATTGGTAGGTTCTTGGCAACATCTACTCAACCCTCTTCTCCCGGCTGCTCTGGGGACAGCAGAGGTTCTCTTTGGCTGCATGCACAACCTTCTCCTGGCCAGTCTTCTCCCGCAGGCAGAACGCAAGGGAACGGGATCTGGGAGGCTGGAGGCACCATCAGAAAGGGGGAGGAAGGCTGAGACCCCATCCCCCCGGAGCAAGTTAACACCTCCTCTCCCCACATCCTCACTGGCTGAGAACAACTTGGCCTGTCACCTAATGACTCGGTGGCTGGTGAGAAACAGCGGTGGCTCTGCGCGGCAGTTGTCCGTGTGTCCTGCTCATTAATCACGTCTGCACCTCCTGGTGGGTCACACGGTGGGAATGAGAAAGGGTTGGTGAGATGCAGTGTGGGGGTGGCAGGCGGAAGAGGGGTGCTGAGCTCCGGATCTATACGGACACTCCCTCAAGGCAAGGGCAATGGCTGATGGCCTTACGGCTTTATTGGGGACTAATGAGAAGTGCTTCTGGAAGGTTCTCGCTGCTGCCGCCACGTGCAGTCTGTGCAGGTCACAGTGTCAGCTGCTGGCGCGAGCTCTCCGTCGCCCGTCTGTGCCCGCAAGCTGCTCGGCATCCCCGGGCTGTAATCTTGGGGGGTTTCAGGGAATCTGGCCACTTGCAGGATTCCTCTCCGAGCCCTCTGATGATGCGAAGGTGGTTGGGGAGGGGCCCTGGGCCGCCGTTCCCATCTCGAGCTTCGCTGTGCGCGGCATCCCCGCTGGGACCACGACACACAGCCCGGGTCTGGGTCTGGCCCCCCAGAGGCTCCAGGACCTGTGAGGTCAGCGGCCACGAGCGCATTACCTACCCACATCTTCCCCTCCCTCACGTTCTGTATTTTGATGCTCTTTATGCTGAAGTCTAAGTTGAGGGATTTAAAATTTTTTTTTATTATTATAGTTTATTTTTACATCATTTTGTGCCTTTTCTCAGTTGTAATCCCCAGGGGCTTCCCATCACCAAATCACCCGTGTGCCATCACCACAGTCCCGTGCGTGCACACACACACACACACACACACACAGACACACACCTCATTTTTGACCCCACTCCCCACTCCACCTCCATAAATTGTCCTGGTTTATAGTTGTTCATTGTTTTCATTTTTATTCTATTACATTTGTTAGTCTCTCTCTTTTCTTTTTGTCTTCCCTGATCCCTTATGCTCCTGCCATGACTGAACCATCCGGTATTTTTCTTTTTCTTTCTGGCTCACTTCACTCAGCATGATCCCTTCCAGCTCCGTCCATGTAGTGGCAAAAGGCAGGAGTTTACCTTTTGATGGCTGAGTAATATTCCATTGTGTATTTGTACCCCATCTTTTTAATCTGGTCATCTACTTTTGGGCATTTGGGTTCATTCCTTGTCTTCCTATTGTAAATAAAGCTTCTCGAATCAGTGCTTTTGTGTCTTTTGGATAGATATTAAGTTGAAGGATTTTTAAAGAATGAACTTGGTAGCCACAGGTCAAAGTGCAGACCAAGTAGCGTCACGGGAAGTCCCAGGAGGCACCACGGGAAGGCACCACGCCGGCTCAGTGCTGGCTATGTTACAAGTGCCCTAAGTCTTTCATTGTGCTCTTCTGTTTCAAAAACATGGCTGAAATTTTTCTGCAGAATGAGTCAGCGGTGAATAAGAGATGCATGAGAACTCACCAACATGAAGGGTGTTGGACAAAGCAGAGCAAGGCTTGTGTGAAGGGGTCGCCCCCGAATGAGCAGCCAACTGCCAGAGCCTAGCAAGTGAAGACATCAGTCCAGGGTCCTGTGTCCCTCCTGCCCAGGCTAGTGATGCTACTGGGACTCCGTTTGGCGAGTCACCTGCCTCTCATGGTGACTCCGTCTCTGTGAGAGAAAGCGGGTGGAAGACTGGGTCGATGCTGCAGGTCCTGCCTGAAGACCGCGGAGCAGACCAGGTTTGTCGGGTGGTTTTCAGCTTGTGAAGGAAAATGTGGAGGGAACACTAAGAGCTCATCTGTCTCTTGAGTGCATCTTCTCTCCCACAGGCCTGGGTGTG